GGTTCCAGAAAATGCTGTACTGGGAAAGGCCTTATCATACAATAGTCGTTCTAACCATGACTATACTAATCATATACAAGTAAGTTACTTGTCTCAGTACGGTTCTTCAGAACCGAACCGCAGTGAACTGAAAAATGCGGCTTTTTTTCCGATCCGAATCGTCCAGATTTCTTATTGCAAAACGTTAATTTTCAGGGAGTGGGTTGGAAAGGCCATGTCGGCTTCACTAATATGGCTCGTGGCGAAGATGGTCCAAGAGAGAGGTAATAGGATGCGCGAGAAATATGACGAGGTAATAACGGTGAGCACTGCGTCAGACCAAAGTATGACGGAAAGCATAGTGTCCGCTCAGTACGGTTTGATTTCGCTTCACCAGATAATGCAACAAACCAACGTCGCGATCATGAAGATGCGGTCCATATATACCGCTAAGGCTTACAAGGTAATTATCGATTCATTCTAGGACTAGTTTTCATACATATAACGACATACTTTCCTTACAAATTCATCCTAAAAAACTTCGGTTATTGGTATCATCTTTCATTTATTTGAAATTAGAATCAAGATTTTGCGTTTGTTATATCACTGTTTACGTTATAATCTACAGCACGCAAGTCTCGTGATGGCGGCGATTGTTGGGCTGGCGATCTTCTTGGCGGTGTTGCCGTTGAAGTACGTGATAATGTCGGGCATTTTATACTGCTTCGTTATGACATCGGCGGTCGGGAAATACATGAGCAACTATCATAGTAACCGCAGGATGAAAGAATGGTGGGACTCTATCCCCATCGTCCCGGTCCGAGTCGTAGACGGTCGAGTAGGCTAATGCCATCGGCTTGGTTCGAGAAAATGCGTGAATGTGGATTTGTCATGTCGTGGAAAGCGTTGGTTTAAGAGTGGATTTTGTTATCCGCGTGTTCGAATAAATGGCCGAGGTATCAGTTTCATGTAATAATATGTATGGACCGTTTTCCATAACCGAAATGTGCCAATGTTTTATCAGAAAATTTGTATTATAGCAGCCATATGATACTAGGTGTTTAGATCTAAATTATTATATATAAAATAAATTGTTAGGGATCCGAACAAAAACCTTATTATATAAAATAATATTGTTTTTTGGGTAAAAAAGTTAATATTAATTGTTAATTTTTTTTTTATCTATTTGATGTCTATAAATTTGTATATGTGGTGGTATACTATGTTAGATATCTATTATTTTGTAGATTGTGGTGGTAGATTTAGAGTTAATGGATCTCATTCATTTTTAGAAAACGTATAAATTTATGACACGGAATAATAGATATATATATTTAGAGATTGGGATTATGTAATAGATGATGTAATTTACTATGATATTAATAAAAACTAACATTTTAACATTTCTAATTGATTTGGAATATGGAAAACTACAAAGATTAATGTATATTTATTTGTATGCATTAAAACATATCGTTATGCGTTATGATTGGTGTGTTCAATATTTCATAATGATAAACTAATATTGTAATATATTTTTAAATAAAATTAAATATTAAAAAAATTAGTAAACTCTAAAAGTTGAGATGCAATAAAAATAATTTTTTGATTAATCTATAGTTAAATATTTACTCAAATTGTTTTTATTAAATTTTTGTATATATTTTTCATTTAACAACGATTATTAAACGCATTATCTAATTCAGTTTGGGTTGGAAACTGTTAGTCTTGTTATAAGATTAAATAGCTCCACAAAAACTCAATTTTTTCCAATGGCGTCTTCCTAAAACCCTAGAGTCGGAGATTTCCCCAAAACCCTAGACTCCATAGTTCTTCATCCCTTTTCTGGATCCACAAATGGGCGACGATGACATTGAACTCGAAGAATCACTGGTTCCTCGGAAGGCGAAGTCGCTGGAGACGTTGATCAGTGGCTCATTTCCGGCGTCTCTGTCGAATCTTTCGTCGTCTTCTCGTACGATTCCGGCGAACAAGGACTTCCATTTTTTCTACAACTTCGACGAGTTCAAGCGTCCGGTTGATGAGATTGCCGCGGACTCGCGGTCCGTTCTCGAGACGATCGGTGACTCGTCGCAGGTTTGGGGGAAACCGATGAAATTGACGGGGGATATCGACGGAGACGATGCGTACGACTGGCTTGGTAACGTGAACGATGAGATTTACGAGAGATTTGATGTTTCGATGGATGAGTTCGAGAGGATTCGGAAGAAAGAGGAGGAAGTTGGTCGGCAATTGAGTCCCTTGACTGATGAAAATGGGTTTCAGATGGTTTATGGGAAGAAGAAGAAGCCGGTGGGTAAAGGCGTTGCCGGGTCGGCGAGGGACGTCGGCCTGGGCGGCGGAGCTAGTGATGTGAAGGTGGCCGAGAAGGATAAGAAGGTATCTGGGAAGGCGAAGGTTCCGTTCCATATACCTACGATAAAGAAGCCTCAGGAGGAGTATAATATACTTGTGAACAACGCGAACCAGCCTTTTGAGCATGTTTGGTTGGAGAGGAGCGAGGACGGTCAGAGATCTATTCATCCACTGGTTAGTCTGCTGCATTTTGCATGATTGGTCTTACGAAGCATGATCGAGAAGAAGAAATATGAGCCTTTTGTGACGAAAAAAGTTTCTTTTTGTTTCTTGGTTGCTTCAAGAAACTTAAATTCTTGTTAGGCAATGAAAGAATCGTTAAATGGCTTATCCTGATCTAGTGCAATCCAACTTCTCACCAGTAATGGAGGTTGAAGGATTATTTCCCCATCTACCCGAGGATGAGGAAATTGTACATTCCAGACTATGGATTCTGATTTCTTATGAGTATTGAGTATTGTGTTGATTTCATAGTTTGTTATAGAAAGTTTTCCTTAACACTATGCAGGAGAAGCATTCAGTAATGGATTTCATGGACACAAATATAGGAGAGACAGAACCTGTTAAGCCCTTCCCAATGGAAGAGACTCCATTCATGCTTGTTCAAGACATCAAAGATCTGAAGGATTTAGCTGCTAAATTGCGTAGTGTTGAAGAGTTTGCGGTAATATATTTAACTCAGTTCTGATTATTTTACCATCCCAGTGTGATGTTTGTAGCTGGAGAGCAATCTTTGGTGTAAGGCTGTAAGCTGTAGGAATTGTGATATATGTATCATTATTATGGTATAGGCTAGTAGCACAGCTAGTACATTTTACTGAGTCTCTTGAGAAAGAAAAAACTGAGTGTAGAGTGTCATTCCAAGGCTCTGAACTGTCTGGCTATTGGTGTTGCCTGAAAGGCTGAAATCCTCTGATCCATCTTTTTATTTAAAATGCAAAAAAAAAAGTTTCTACATTCTACTCAGTCTCTTGATAAAACAAATGGGTGTAGAGTGGAGTTTCGAGGCTCTGAACTATCTGGATATTGTGTTGCCTCTCTGATCCATGTTTTATTCATAAGATGCGAAATAATTGGTTAGAAATTGTGGTTTTACTCCCCTCTTCTTGTTGAGCCAGCTGGATTTATACTTTCTATTGTAATTTTCAGGTTGATCTGGAGCATAATCAGTACCGATCTTTTCAAGGATTGACATGCTTGATGCAAATTTCTACCCGAACGGAGGATTATATTATTGATACATTTAAGCTTCGGGTTCACATAGGTCCTTACCTTAGGGAAATCTTCAAAGACCCTAAGAAAAAAAAGGTTTTCTTCTGAACACTTGAATGTTCTTTCTTTAAAGTTCTAAAATATATCTATTTCACTATGAAAACCTTGAATATATTTAGGTCATGCATGGAGCAGATCGAGATATTATTTGGCTTCAACGGGATTTTGGCATATACATCTGCAATCTCTTTGACACTGGACAGGTGCGATTTCTGGAGATTGTCTCATACTATTACTTTATACTGAAAGATGGACTATAGGAGTCAATGTTTATGATGCACAATTTTCCATCTCAACGCTGACAAAGAAGATAATTTCCCTTAAAATATTTGCCATTTTGTATATGGAGGAATAGCCAATGCAATACATTAATGTCTAGAAGGATTATCATCACTTTTCTTTCTTCTACATTTATTGTTTACTTCAAGGGAAATTCAGCGATAATAAATTGTTTTGACAATGTTTATTTGGCCAATTATCATGCAGTTAAAGGATTACTGAGTGTTGCTATCTCCTGACTTCTTTTGCTGGTTCTTTTAGCCGAGACTTTTTACACCCTTATTAACTTGTATGATAATTATTATAGAAACACGAGTCAGTGTGTTCATCTAGAAGGTTTTGTGTTCATATTGTTATGAGTAAGAAGAAAATATTTTTGTATTTTTCAAGCATTATATTTGTAATAGGCCTTTCAGTCAGTTGGGAATTTTGATTCTCGTTTCTACTCATACAGGCTTCAAGGGTTTTGAAGTTGGAAAGAAATAGTCTGGAGTTTCTTCTGCAACATTTTTGTGGAGTTACTGCAAATAAAGAGTGTGTAAATTATTCAATTGTTTGTTTAAACATTTTTTTTATTCTCTTCTTTGTCTTTTGTTTCAACTTCTGTTTTGTTCATTGGCTGCAGATACCAAAATGCAGACTGGAGAATACGACCACTTCCAGATGAAATGATCAGGTTATATCTACTTTCTCCTGTTTCCTTCCATTATTGTTTTGAGTTGGAGCTCATATTTTTTTTTTTACTTCTGTGGCAGATATGCAAGAGAAGATACACACTATCTTTTGTATATATACGATTTGATGAGAATTAAATTGCAAACAGTACCGAAGGAAGATGAGCAATCTGACTCTCCTCTCATAGAGGTAAATTGTGAAATTAGGTTTTTCCCCAGTGGTATGTTTACTCTGCTTATGGTATTTGCCTATGGATGGAGAATATGTTACTACTAAGCTCATCGTTGGTAACAGGTCTACAAGCGCAGCTATGAGGTGTGCATGCAACTATATGAGAAAGAGCTTTTGACTGAGAATTCATACCTTCACATATACGGGTTTGTTACATACGTTGATTGGATTAACTTGCTATTCGTTCTTATTTTCATATGCAAAAATGGTTTGTAGCTAATTTATCTTTAAGTTTCAAATTATTGTGTCTGAAACTAATCCGCGGCCTATTTCTCCCATGCTTCCAATGTGTTAGGCTTCAAGGAGCTGACTTTGATGCAATGCAACTTGCCATTGTTGCGGTATATTTTCTCATTTCTCATCACAACTTAATCTGCATTTTCGTAATCGGTGTGGAGCTGACATAATATTGGCCTTCTTTTAGGGACTCTGCCAATGGCGTGATGCCATTGCTCGTGCAGATGATGAGAGCACTGGCTATGTGTTGCCAAATAAAACTGTGCTTGATATAGGTAAAACAATGGAGTTCAAATCAGTTTCTCCATCTATAGAGATTCTTCTGAGTTTTGCTTTGCGGTATCACTAAATTGCTTACTTGTTTTAATCGTAAAAAGCCAAGGAAATGCCTGTTACTACTAGCAAATTGCGTCGGTTATTGAAGTCAAGACATCCTTATATCGAACTGAATATCGACTCAGTGGTCAGTGTCATCAGGCAATCAATGCAAAACGCTTCAGCGTTCAAGGCTGCTGCTCAATTGTTGAAAGAAGGGGTAAGATATATGCCCATGTTCTGGATTGTTATATTTTAAAGCACATATATGATTATTACATATTCCTTTTCTTTGTCGTAGGTCTCTTGTAAGAATATTGAACCCATCACCGAGCGAATAGATGTGTCTCCTGGGGCTGCAGATGTGGCCTCTCCAAATTTGAATGAGAAGGCTTTGCATGGTGGAAGTAGTAATAGCAAAGGCCTAAGCACGGTCTCAGTAAATACTAATGAAGGGAGAGGTGTAGCTGCAGGATTGTTCGGTTCGACAAAGGTCATTCTTTGTTGCTTTGTTTTGTGAATCTCTGGGCGTTTCATTTCCGCACTCAAACATCAATCTTTGTATCTGTCAGGGTTCTGCATCTGTTCAGATCTCGAAGAAACCGAGCAGTGCTTTTGGGGCCTTGCTGGGAAATGCAGCTTCTAAGAGGAAGTTTGGAGCTGATAACAAGGTAAGCTTGTGATGATTTCGGTTGCAGAGTTGCTCGAAAGATATGAAATTATGATCATTTCGTGAAAACTAAAAAATGAGAAACCCGGTTTCTGGTGTTAATTTTTAGATTTTTGGTAGAAACTATCGGGTGGTTAATCTTTTTGGTAATTCAACTTGCAGCCAATGGAAGAGATCAAACTTGAGCAGATAAGATCATCGGTGAGCCTACCATTCCATTCTTTTATGGATAAAGGTCTCGGCAAAACCTCTGTGAAGGTCTCGGGAAAACCCGAAGAGGTTCCCACTGAACCAGTTTCGGTCTCCAAACCAGACAACACAATATTTCCGGAAGATGGCTCAGCGGAAGAGCCCTCGGAACCTGCAGAAACATTGACTACACCATCAGTAGCTCAGAAATCCAAAGTATCTCTTACCAAGTCTGAGGATGTTATTCCGGTAAACGATAACTCAGACGAGGAAACTGAAACCGGTGGTGACCCAGGAAGCAGTAACACTTTGAAGAAAGAGGAATCTGAAGAGGAGATGGATGCGGAAGACGAACCAATGTCGCTGTCCGAGTTATCTTCAAACTTCCAGAAATGCTTCAAGCAGAAGAATCAGGTGGAGAAGCCGTCGTCGGGGTCAACAATGAGACTGAAACCCGAGTTTCTGAACATAAAGCCGTTCGATTACGAAGCTGCAAGGAAGGGAGGAGGAGGAGAAAGAGAAGGTAACAGAAAGAAAGTCGGGGATTCGGGAGGTAAGAAGAAGGGTTCAGGAACGCAGAATGTGGAAGGGACGAGTGAGTTCGGGCAGGGAAAACGGCGGCAGGCTTTTCCGGCGTCAGGAAACCGCAGTATGACCTTCTTGAATTAGAAAAAAATGGTGTTGTAACATTACAGTGAACTCTTTGAATTAAATGGAAACATACAGTGAACTCTTTGCGGAGATCGAAATCATTAGTGTCCGAAAACGTGAAATTCTTCTAAGAAGCCAACTGATGGTGAAAGTGAAAAGAAACGAAACGAATTTTTGATATTTTTTTCCCAGACATCAAATGGAGATGGAGTATCAGAGCAGCATGCATGCGTGTTTCATGTTGCTCATCTCAAAGTGTCCCACATCGAGAGATAGGAGAGAGAGGGTAGAAGGGGGTGTGAAATAAAGGGCGAGAGGGAGCGACGAAACAACTCATACCTTTCTCGGCCTTTTGGCTAAGATCAAGTGTACGTGGGCTATCTGCCCACAACGATATTAATTCTATTTTTTAAAGGGGTGAGTCCATAACGGTAGCTTGCTATCGTCATCTCACGCGTGTCGCCCACGCGTTGCACTACAGCGAGGGCCTGGCGCATCCCCACCCAAATCTTCATCCTGAAATTTAATGTTAACAATAGTCGATGTCATATTCGTAGTGTTCTACAGTGCATAATATATACATACGGATTATTATTTTTGACAGTGCAGAGGGTTGTCAACATGTTATATTTTATTAATTTAACTAGTTGTTATAAATATTTCAAAATGTTTTTGATTAATTGAGATTCTTTTGCATTCCATGAAATCTTGTGCAAAATGTTTTTAGAAATTAAATGATCTTTTTGGTTTTTTTTAATGTTAATACGGAAGTGATGTGGCAGTCAACTATTGGATGGAATTTGTCACCCACCAGGCGAAATGAATTCATCCCTTATAAAGAATCTTAAGACTCCCACATAAATTTGTTTCATTAGAGACGCTTCAGAAGATGCAAGAATCTCCATTGATTCTCTCTCTCTTTCCGTCTCCCAAGAAACCCCAAAGAAGTTCGTCGAGGCGACAACAATGGCAACGGCTTCCTCCGTTGGAGGAGGAGGAACGTTGTCGGTACTGTACAGTAGCGCTAAGATGGCCTTGCTCAGGGCTCATGACGGGATCGAGAGGCTGGAGAGGCTCGAATCCGCCGT